AGGAATGCTAAGAATTTTGAGTTCATTTTTCTGAACTCTGAAAAGAGCATTTTAAATTACTTGAAATTAAAATGCTGTGTTTCATTTTTTTTTTTCAAGGTTAAAAATGCTGATTCTCCCTCCAATTCCAGCTCCAAAGATTAAAGGGATTGATCCAGACCTCTTGAAGGTAATTTTATTTCATGGTATAATATAACTCTTCAGAGCAGATATAATTACAGTAGTGATTGATGAAAAGTATTCTCCCATGAAGAGGGATTTTGCAGGAAAATGTCATCACTAGAGGTGCTTAGTATTAGGAAAGATGCCAGAGTGTAACAGAACACCCTTTATAACTGGTACCATTACAGCAGCATATTCCCTGGATGAATGCATTACACATGAACATCAGAATGGCCCCTGACTTTCTCCTTTTTCCTGTTTCACCTTGGTTTTGCTCTATAGAAAGGAAAACTAGAGGAAGTGAACTCCATTTTAGCCAGCCACGACAGCTACAAGCCACAGCTGTACAACGATGACTTGTGGGTTGAATTTATTGAGTTGGACATAGATGACCCTGATGAAAAGACCGAAGGATCTGATACAGACAGGCTCCTGAGTGATGCCCACATGAAGTCTCACAGCTGCCTTGGTGTGAAGGATGATGATTCTGGACGAGCCAGCTGTTGTGAACCAGATATGCCAGAGACTGACTTCAGTGCTAGCGACACGTGTGATGGCACCTCAGATACTGATCCGTCCAAAAAGATAAGTGAAAAAGAGGAGAATCTCTTGTGCCTTGATCAGAAAGATAATAATGAATCACTTACGAATCTAGATGACCCAGCAAACCAGCAACTTATTAGTCAGTCTGAAGATAACCAGTCAAAACCACCTTTTGCTGACAGTATTGAATCACCTAGCCCAGTTCCACCGGTCCGTACCCAGCTAAGCAACCAGAGCTCAGTGACAAATATTGACTTTTATGCACAGGTAAGTGACATTACACCAGCAGGAAGTGTTGTACTTTCACCGGGGCAAAAAAATAAGACGGGGAGAGCACAGTGTGAGACCCATACAGAACCAGCTGCACAGTGTCAATCAAACTTCACCATGGACAATGCCTATTTCTGCGAAGCAGACGTGAAAAAATGTATCGCTGTGACTTCTCATGAAGAGGTTGAGCCACATGTTCAGGATCAGAGCTTTAACGAGGACACTTACTTCACCACAGAGAGCCTTACCACTACGGCTGTGAATCCTAGCACAGCAGCAGAAGAAGCCTCAAGTTCCGAGATGCCTGTCCCAGACTATACCTCCATTCACATAGTACACTCTCCACAAGGCCTTGTGCTCAATGCTACAGCATTGCCTGTGCCAGACAAAGAATTTATGGTATCATGTGGCTACGTGAGCACAGACCAGTTAAACAAAATCATGCCATAGCTTTTCTTTGACTATGTGCATATAATATGTATTTAATGGCATAGAGTTGGCTTGGGCTTGTATACTTGAACCAAAAAAATGTTTAAATTTTTTTTGTGGTTCTTAAGCTTTTACCTGAAATGTTGAAGCATATACCATTAATCAAAATATTCTTCTTGTGTACTGTAAATATTATCTATGAATTGTCTCAAGAGACTGGTTAGTGGCAACAACTGTCTTGTTATTGTGGGTGTTGATTTTTGTGAAACAGCATCAAATGACTATGTTAAATGTACAGTAAATCATACTTTTTGAAAAAGCTAAAATCAGGTGGTTTTTGAAGTTTAAGAATTTAATGTTAATTACACTACAAGCTGAGATCTTTATATTAATTAGGGTTGGGAAGTTGACTGGTCAAATATCAGTCAAAACTTGTAAAAATTGCCAATAGGTCCAAATAATACACAGAAAAAGCACAAATTTTCCATTAAGAAATGTGTCAAAAACAATAAAAATCATATGTCTGTCAAGAAAACTATGAAAATGGGGAGGGAAGAGGGTGTTGTAAAAGTGCTATAATCTTTGACCAGTCAAAAAATATGCAATCAATTGACTGGTCAATTGACAATATTTGACCTGTCAATTGACTGGCTTGCAAACCCTAATATTAATAATTGGGAACTGAAAATGTAAAATATAGATGAGGAAGTAAAATAAGTTTGAATAAATACAAATTTATTTTAGTTTATATAAATTAATAAAGATATTTTAATATTCTAGACATAAAGACATGAATATTTTATATTACACTGCACACTGTTGTTTAATTATAAGGATCCATCTAAGGAATGTATTTGCTGCACTATTATAAGAGCTTGTTTCTGCTTTAGTCATTGCAGCAAAAAAGAAAAGATAGTTTTATACAGAGCCATTTTGTACCTCCAAAGAAACCTGTTGAGAAATTTAAAAAATATTATAGCAATGTACATGAATTGATCGTATTAATTTCTTACGATTATTATAAAAAATATATTACTTAAACTTAAACTTTGTAGGAAACTTTAAAATGTGCAAAATATTTGGGCAATTGAACCCATTCTTCACCAGATTCTGGTTAGTGCCAATAACACATTTTTATACTGCAGTAGACACTACAGTCATTTTTTGTTTACCAAGTTCTTTAAAGACCTGCACATACACTTTTATTGAATGGTTTTGAAGAAAACACGCAAAAACATCAAAATCTCTTGACATGAGACCAAATTCTGAAGTTCTTACTCAGACAAAGCTATTGCTGATGTTGCTAATTTTTGCCTTTAGTAAATATTGAATAAAAACAGAACCTCAGGATTTGGCCAGCAGTGCACCTCTGAGATGGAACAGAATTAAAAGAAGTTAACAAGAAACACGTTAAATACAGTATTGATTTAAAGACTCTTTTCTTTTTTACAGCCTAGAGAGAGAGAATCTCTCTCAGTCACATTAGGGAGACTTTTAGCAAGCTGTAAGGAGAGAAAAGCAAAACTCAGTGGGAGAGCTTTCTTCATTTTTAAGTGTTTTAAGAAATTGAGAAAGCTTTGCAATTAATTGTTATTTGCTTCAGAAGTTACCTTTATAGGCACATTTCATCTTAGCAGAAATATTTTTAGAAAGCAAATGTAACTAGGGACAATAATTTCCTTTTTTTTTTTTAAACGTGAATAGCAACCTATGAGCCTAGTCACACAGACCTTCCTCACACAAAGTTAATTCAATGCAACTCTTCCTGTGACTAAGGACTGTAGGATTGGACCCTATGGTTGGATGGAATTTTTAAGTGTAGCATGTACTTTATGGTAAATGTGCGTTAGACATTATGCTAATTTGCTGCTACGTTTTTCTAACAGCTACATTATTTAGTTTCATGTAAATTTTGATAAATGGTAAACACTAATGTAATTAACAGCTACGTATGTGTTTGGAAAAAGTCTCTTACTATACTTCTGTCACCAAAAATAGTTAAATACCTCAATCAATCTCAGAATGTTATTTTGGTACTTTGCTGGTCACACAAACCATTATACAGCCGTATGAAGAGTTGTGTCTTGCAGTTTCTATTTAACTTTCCGTATGTCAGTGGGTTTTTTTCTCTCAAAGTTTAATAAATTTATTTTCTTTGATTCACCTTGACACAGTGTGTTTTATTGTAGGAGCTTAAGATGTTAAAATGTTTCTGGGGTATTAAGACTTTAACCAATAAAAAACAAGGGATTTCCATTAAATGGAGCAGAACACAGCCACAGTTGCTTGGAGTGGGAGAATTGCACCCTGTGTCCTCTGTGGTGGGTGTGTGCGTGTGTGTGTGTGACCACACGCATATATAAATGCATATACACAAATGTATACATGTATATATGTAAATATGATGACAATTAAATATCATGCTATAACTTGAAGTTCCCTTTTGTATGTATGCCTTGTCAGTGAAACTTACCTTTTTTGCAAGATATAAATTCTGTTAGTGCTTCCTATATTTTTAGCCAACAATACAACAGTATGGGAAAATCTTCATAAACAAAAGTTGTAACCATTTAGGAAAGCTGTCCGGACAGCTTACATACTGCTGTTGATAATATGGATCTGTCTCCATGAAAATTGTTGTATAGTCAATGGATTTCATTTTCCATACAATACTGTATATTCGTCAGCCTCAGCTTAACAAGGAGAGCTGGAACAGGAGCCCAGTAAAGCAGAGAATACCCTTGCTTTCTTCGGAAACACAGATTAAAACCCACTGACTCCCTATCACACCTACCTCATGCCTTGTAAACAATTAAACTAGAAGCCAAAAGGCGTATATGCCTGCAGCAGGCTTCAATGGAGAGTTTGTCCAAGTTGTGGAGGGTGTATCAGGTGACAGGGATGGCCCCTAGGGAAAGGCACTAGGACTGTGACCTACAACTTGCAGAAGAGAATGCCAGATGGAGGTTCTTCACCCAGAAATAAAACCTAAAGGTACCAAAATGAAGATAAAGCCTTGTCTGTGTTGAGACTTCATAAGCTTAAAACACCTGAGGATGAGTGGTCAGCAGAAGCTCATGCTGCCAGACATGCCTACTTGACTGTGGGCCTGATCCTTCTCCCTTTTAAGTCATTGGTTATTTTGCCACTGATTTCACTGAGATTAAAATCAGATTCTGTGGTCACAAATCAAGGAGTTAGATGTGTAACTATTGAGATTATGTACCTGCAGCTCTGTTATGGATGTTTAAAAATGTGGGTGCACTTCTGTAAGTAATGAGGTCAAATGATGGTTTTTACTGTTGCCAGCTGATTATTTATATTCCTATTTTGTTTGGAGGAACACATCTGTAATCCCTGGAAAGAGCTCTGTGAACATTAAAATATCAGCAGTTTTATCAGGTACTCTTATTCAAATTGAATCTTAGCCCCAAAGTAATATATGATTCACTGTATGAGTGAGAGAATCAATCTATTTTTAAGTGGTTGAGGAAAAGGAGGGCCAAACATACTAAAACTGTTTTTCCTTCCTGAGTTCTTCCTGCATGTAAGCAATACCCTAAGATTTTACAAAATAGAGTGACTCTCCACAGAGAACAGCTGCAAAAAAACTGGTATAGAGTTTTGAGCTAGATAGTTCAGTGTGCTGAGTATTTTGACATAATTGTTTTGAGAGCAAAGATTAACTTTTGGATTTTTCCTACACTAAATAGCTTCAATAATTCAATATTTTTCATGAGTCTTTTTCCAAATACGTGAAAGCCAGCCATTTAATGAAATGTTACCTGCCTGGATCCAGTGCAGACAGAAGAGAGTATCATGCTATATTCAAAGGTGCAAGACAGGTGGGAGAGAACAGAGCAAAATTCTCTTCCTTAAAACTAGCCAGGGGTGGAGGAACCATGTGAGACTGCAGAGGTCTATTGGCAGAGCAGAGTGGTAGTAAGTGAAAGTTGTGTGTTCTCCATAGCTTGCTCTTGAAGCTAACAACAAAGTTCTGAAAGAATGTCTGCTCAGTGGTTCTTTGAGCATAGGTAGTAAACCAGTTAACTGTATGCTTAGTCTACGCTACAAGGTGTACCAGCATATCAGTGTCAGGTAGGAATGTGAAAAGCCTGCAGCCCCAACCTGACATAACAGAAGCAAAAGTTTGTAGGCTGGACTGCTAATCCATTTGTTTGCTCCTGCTTGGATATTTTTTCTAAAGACTTAGACTTCAGTCAAAAATTCTTTTTGACAAGCCAAAGAACTAAAATGGCTCCTCAAGATCAAGTGAAATATTGCTTTTCTCACTGAGAACTCCAGGTGCCCACAGACTCAGCGTGTTCCTTTCCCTCCACTGTGGGCATGTCTACATATTCATTAATGCACCTTAGTTACTGCACATTAAGTGTAATACTTGTATAAACAAGTACTAAATGAATGTGCAGTGACTAGCATTACTGTGCAGTAGCACCAGCACATACCTTTTCAGTGATGCTACTGAGCGGTATCCTAATACTATTGCGCAGTAGTGTATTAGCACTGTTTGTGCTGTGACATGCTACTGCACAGTATTATTAGGCTACTACACAGTTAGCATCTTGTATAGACATACCCTGGGTAAGTAAGCCTCTCTTAGCATGAAGTAAACACTGATGCTACAATTATGCTGCAGAATATCAGAATCATGCCAGATTGATGCATTAGAAGAAGGTGGAGTCTGTAAACTATTGGGTTCCTATCCCTACTCCCAATCACTTTCTATACTTACCTTAATATAAATTGAAGTCAAGTAACAAGTTGTACTTGTTGATTCATTTTAATTCAAAGGCATGGGTACAGGCACTAAAAAGACTGTGATATTTACATTTGTAGGAAAGTTTTTGAGCCTAAATTAATCATTCTTATTGTGGGGAGATAGAATGATATATATTTTAATAGTCTTCACTTCCTTTATGCTCCCACCATATATTTTAATAGTCTTCACTTCCTTTATGCTCCCACCCACTTGCCTAGTTCATTCTGTCTCACAAAACATTCCTGCTGAGTTTACAGGAATGTGCCATTAATACAAGCAGTATCAGAAACATAGTTCATGGTCTCCTTCTTCCTTACCAATAACCCATTACAAATAATGAGACACACATTTTGGTAGATATTGTAATGCCACTAAATTCAGCCCATCCATTTTCAATCTACCAATATTTCACTTTTTCTATTACTGGAGCTGAAAAAGAATGATTAGGTCATCTTTCACAAGGCAAAAAGAACACAAGTAAAAGGAAAACTTGCATAGCTAACATAAATCAGCCATGTGCTGAAATTTTTCTT